TCTATATTTCTATCTTATTATCCTCTTCTTCAGTACCCATAATCACTAAACTCATGTCACACAAAATAAATCACAACATTAGCTACAGTAGCAACCCAGATTTGGTCACAAATCAGAAAACAAAACACATAACCCATCCATAAAACACCAAGAAGATACAAAATCTAACTATCAGATAAACCCTCAATTCGACAAATCAAACCTGAGGCCACAAAAATCACTACTTTACCCTACCCACTTGAAGCAAAACACTAATAACTTGAAAATGAGAGTTTCTTGCACAGAATAACAGTTCCCACAGTGCAAAACCTGCTAATTTACAATCCAGAAGATATAAGAGCTAGCAAATTTACAACAATTTTTTGTGGGTGGCGCCGATGGAAGGAAGCAGAGGGGGAGGGAGGAGAAGATCTGGTTCTAGTCAAAACATCACCACGTGGCCTTTCAATTTTAGTGCACAATGCCACGTCAGTAAATGAAAAAATCCAGCTCACACCAATTTAACGCCGTCTCACACCACTTAACGGTTATGGTACAATGTGCTCACTTTTACAAAAAATATGACCCAATTGAGACAGAAAAAAACTTGAGGACCCAACTGAGATTTTCATACAAACTTGAGGACTAAGGGAGGGTTTAAACCTTAAATTTATAAAAATTTCATCAATTAACACTTGATATGGACACAACATTAATATCAATTTAAAAAAAAATCAAATTTGATCATTTAAAAAAATAAAATGACTAAATTGAAAAAAAAAATCGAGTCATCCTGAAAAGTAATAATGATGTTCAAATCTAAAAAACCATATATCATTTTAAAGTGCTAGAAATTTAAAATCAAATGCAATTGAAATAAGTTAAAAATAGTATTAAAAACATTATGAAAAGTGAAATTACTCTACAACAAAATTAGAAATGTGTACAAAATATATATTATCATCGATATATACATATTCCAAATAAGAACATGGAATGTAAATATATTAGGAAGTTGGTACACATGATTTACTAGGTATTTTCATGAACAAGAAAATTAAAAATAATATTAAGAGAAATGCTTTTATTATTATTTTTGTTAAATATATTATCTTTATTTTATATTTATTTTTATTTTATGTTTATCTTTAGTTAATTTCTTATTTATATTTTGAACTTAGTTCATATTTTTTCTATTATAAAGAGAAGAATTATGTATATATTTAACAAAAAAAAATTAATCTCATACATAATAAAAATTATATTTAAACAATTAATCTCTAATAAATATTTCCTTATAGACACTGAATTCAAATAGTTCTTCTTCTTTATTTGTTTTCTCTGGTTCTAACTCCACCTCTTTATAATATATATATATTAATTTGGATCACATCTCACCCAAGAAAAAAGAAATATATATACATAGAAAGTGAACTGATTATATATTTTAAATTTTTGAAAGAAATATAAATTAAAAAATCTAAACTTAAAGAAACTGTACAATAATATCAAAGTTATGTTCAATCCCTTCCTCACATAGTTGATGGCTGTGATAGATAATATTGCTAAAATTTTATATATAAAAAAAAAGTGATAAAGAAATGAGATGGAAAAAAAGTTATGTACATATTCTTACACTCTTTTTTATGACATTATATTTTTATTAATAAATAAATCTCACTTAAATTTCAAAATACATATTATTAAATATCAATATTATTTGTATACAGGTACAAATTCTCGATTTGTTATCTATACATAAATAACTTATTAAATTGGTTTTATACATTTATATGTTAACATTTTGATTTTTTTTTTATACATTTATGATATTACTCTCTTTTAAACTTTACATTTGGCCCATATGCGTTATGTGTCATTTTAATTTAGTTCTCATACACATATAAAAATATATATTATACACATAAATCAATTAAAAATATTCAGGTTATCACCACTACGGAGGATATATTTTTTTATGATATTTAACCAGTATATATAAAAAAAAAGTAGGTTATCAGCTAGCATATAATTAGTCTGTGATAGAAAAAATTAATTAATAATTCAAGTTTATGGATAGAAAATTAATGACTAAAAACTATTAGTAAAATAGTTGTTTGATAAATTCTTTTAATAATTGTGAAATTTACCAGTAATTAATAGCGAATGGAATTTATCCGTAAATATTTATTGGTAATTATCGATAAATTATAATCGTCGGTAAAATTCGTCGATAAATATTACGATTTGGTTTTTTTCTTCTTTCTCATCTTATCTTTTTTCTTTTCTTCTTCTTACTTCTCTCCTCCTATTTTTCCTCCTCCTCCACTGATGTCATCACATCGCTTCTTGCTTTTGACTCCTCCTCCTCTTCTTCCTCTTTCACCTCTTCCAACTCCAGCTGCTATCGTGATCGAGCCATCGTAACTCAACCATTGTCATCTCAGCTATCACCGCACCTCCGTTGTCACACCTCTTACTCCTTCTCTTCCTCTTCCTCTTTCTCCTACTCCTTTTCCTCCTCATCCTTCTTCTCTTCTTCTTCTCACCCATGTCCCCTTAATATATACAAAAATATCATCAAACTTAGCATAAAATTTGTTGTTGATTTTTTTGACGAAAAAATACTCCTTGCCTTCCCGACCAAAGGAGCCTTCCTACAAGATGTTAATGACAGACATTATTACCTTTAGACCGGAAATAATTTGAAATTGTGTGGTACAAAAATGATTGTGTAAGCAAAAGTGGTGAAAATGACGGGACCACATGGTCCTTATTTATAGAAAACCTGATGGACACATGGTGTCCCCCATGAGCGTAAGATCTTGCACCATCAACCTTCATAATGTACACGACGTTATGTATTCGGTGTCAGCGTTGACAACATGATCCGCAAGACGTTGACACAATTTGTAAAGCTTTACTCAACCTTAAAACTTGTGGGATGACATACATTGTATGTACTGAAGAGTACATATCTATTGCAATAAACGATCAATCGTCCAAGCATGGAGGAAATCGTTATGATTAGAATAGTCTAAACATCTAATTAATCTAATGAGATTTAAAGGATTGTGATTAGACTTACCTTAATCAAAAGTCTATAGAAAAAATTATAGATACATGTTAAAAGTATGATTGTTGAGATTTTGTACTAGTAATTTATTATAGCATTAATTATTTTATCCATCGAATTTAAGTTGACTTAACATTATAACACCGTTAGAAGGAATCTGTCAATCGATTAGAGTCCGGCATACCCAACACGAAAGGATAACATGGGAACTAGCGAGAATAAAATTGTTTTAAGTAGACGATATGATACATCCGACATACGCAACATGTGTATATCACGAAATTATACGTCTTACTTAAAATCTGTGAAACCACTAAGAAAGGTACAGTAAAATAATGAAAAGTTTAGGTTCAGTTAATAACTGAAAGTGTATGAAAAATGAAGAGAGTCACGGTACGAGACAGGATTCTAGAAAGGAAGGCTTCAACCATATTGTTCAAAAAACGTTGAGTCTGCGATACATAACAACAGCAGTTAAAAATAAAAATAATCTGAGTAAAATAAATAGGTAACCTAAGGTGGGATAAGATAAGAAGAAGAAGAAAAAGAAAAAGAAAAAGAAAGAAAGCTGTGGTTTGACGAAGGTAAAAAACAAAAATAAGAAAAAGAAAAGAAAGAAAAAGATGAGCAAAAAGAGAAAAGAAAATGGGGTAGGAAGCTAGGCTATGACGTCACATGGGGGGAACAACCATGAAGCCATGCGCAACTCAGTGGTCCTTCCTCTCTTTTATATATATGGAAAATGTTATTTGGACAACAAAAGTTTGACACAATTTTGACAACGGCGACGTGGCAGCTGTGCATTGGCTCACTGAACCGGGTTGAGGGGTATTTTGGGTTTTTTCTGGTTTGTTTTCAATTCACTGAGCCAATGCACAGCTGCCACGTCGCCGTTGTCAAAATTGTGTCAAACTTTTGTTGTCCAAATAACATTTTCCTTTATATATGGATTATACCCTTTCCATTCCTCTCTCCCAACACCATTTCTATTCTCACTCTCTCTCATCATGTTGTTCTCTCCCTCATAGTTTCTCTCCTTCACCTCATCATCATCATCATTAATTTTGTCCACTTCTTCCTCATTGCTCTTCTCTTTAACACTAACACTGATTATCAGGTCAGCTAATTACTATCTCTGCATGCCAAATCCAAACATCACACAAACAACAACCACCTTTCTCCATAACACTTCACCTTTTATAATTTTTTCTTTTCGTTTATTATCTTGTGTATTATTATCTATGTCTGGTGTTTTCTCATACATAACTGATTGATTATACATTCTCCCAATCTGGTTCCCAAACGAGTGTTGAAGTGTTTGATGAAGAATGTTGATGAAAACCTAGAAAGGAAGGACGTAGGGCAAAGGGTAAGGGTAGGGTACCCGAAAAGTTGTAGTTGAAGACTGATGTGTGCTGTGAAAATTCTCGACAAAGGGACAAGAGAGTCAGAGGGTCAGCTTCCACAACGAGACAGACTTTGGCTAATGGCTACTGTGCTTGTGTTGTGTTCTATGTATATATCTAACCTTAACTTTTTTCCCTTTTCTTTTTATTATTATCCCTTAGCCCGTGGCAGGCCTTGATCCAATAAAACGGTGTCTCTCTTTTTGTCCCTCAAGCTTTTAGCTTTCGACCAAACGCGTGCCCAATTTGTGATAACGTCATCTCATCTACCCTTTACAATTTCTTTGCTTTTATAACTATCAGTATTTTTACCCATATTGGTGTTTTTTTAACAAATAAAAAGTAGAGTTTGAAACTTTATATGAAAATGTTTAGATGAAAGTTTAGAAATTTTGAATAAGATGATAGGATTATTTGAGAATATGTATAATTATGAATGGTAACGTGGATTGGGAAACCCCGTTCTTGATGAATGATTCACACCATTCAGCAACACAAGACAGCATGATTAGCACAAGCCTCTAGCTGTCCGTTTCTCGCAGACCCTTCACAAACAGAGGTCTAAGCTCCAACTCCTCATGGTTTTCATCAAAACCTAACTCTCATGATTTGGTTATTTCCTTTCTCTGTGTACCCAGGGAAGAAATTAATCATTGTTTCTCAAATTATGGGTTTTTGTTTATAACACGCGCTTATTTTTATTTCCTTTTCAATTCAATTCCCTTGAGTATTGCTCTCCACCAAATGAGATGATGGTCATCTCTGATAGCACTTGCCACCTTTTCACCAAGAGGACTCCTATTATATATTTCCTTTTCTTCGCCTTTGCCTTTTTAGCTTTTTGGTTACTGGAGTGTTTTCTCTTTGCTTCTCTTCTTTCACCCTATATTCTCTCACATACACATTCATATATACTCGTACATTCATCTCTTCATGCTTATAATTCATACATGATGGAGAAACTCAAGGGTGGAAGGTATTAATGGTGAATTTTATGCAGTTCCAGTGATTCATAGGATATGGAGTCGTGTGTCCCACCGGGGTTTCGCTTCCACCCAACAGATGAAGAACTTGTGGGTTATTATCTCAGGAAAAAAGTTGCTTCTCAGAAGATTGATCTTGACGTTATCAAAGAAATCGACCTATATCGCATTGAACCATGGGATCTCCAAGGTATGTATATGCGCACATATATAAACATTATATATACGTATAGTACTTCTTAATTATCCTTCAGAGTAATGCATGATATACTTCAATTTATCTAAGAAGAAGTAATCTTCCATTTGTATAAGCTTAATGAACTTTAATATGAAAAAAAAAAATTAACCATTTCCCAAACACCCACTTACACCTTCAGTTTTCTTCGTGAATCAAAGTAGGGTTTTAAGTGTAAAATTGATCAAACTTTTGTTGAACAAGTGTTTTTAGCTAGATCTTTGTCTTTTTTTCAAAAGATTTTAGAGTATTGTTGTGAAAGATTTGAGTTTGGCAGAGAGATGCAGGATTGGGTATGAGGAGCAGAATGAGTGGTATTTCTTTAGTCATAAAGATAAAAAATATCCAACTGGGACAAGAACCAACAGAGCTACAATGGCAGGGTTTTGGAAGGCGACAGGAAGAGACAAATCAGTGTACGAAAGGACCAAACTTATTGGCATGAGAAAGACCCTCGTTTTCTACAAAGGAAGAGCCCCTAATGGACAGAAAACTGATTGGATCATGCACGAGTATAGGCTTGAAACTGTCGAGAATGGACCTCCACAGGCAAGTATATCTTTATGTATTATGCACAAATATACCATTGCCATATACCCTTTTACGTATTCTGCTAAATTCTTGCTTTCTCAACTATATTTAAATAATCATTTTCTTGTTCATGGAGTTGAATTTGAGATGTTAATTATGAGTTCACACTCGATGAGTTCCTTTAGATGGCCCTTCATTTAGTCAATTATACGTAATTATCACATATTTCACTACCCTAACCTTGTCCTATTCACACTATTCCTAGCTTAGTCACTGTTAATTAATCACTTCCAATGACTTTCCAATTTCCGAGTAATTCCTTCAGCAAAAACGTTAGTTTAGTCTCATGTGCTTCTGTTTCTGCATCAGTGCAGATTGAGCACTTGATTAGTTCCCCTAAATGAATTTTATAATTTAATATAGGCCCTAACAAGTTTGCTTTCGTAGACTGACTGAATATTCAAGGCACGTACAAGCTTTCTACCTATTTGCTACAGAACTTTTACCAACAAGAAGTCAAAAGTCAGTTCTTTCAAAAGCGTTTTCTTTTTCTTTTCTGATACACTTTTAATTCTTGTCATATGTGAAAACCCATCTTCTTTTTTGATATGGTAAAAGAATTTTTGAGGAACAAAGGAAGACAACTTCTACCTTGTCATAGTGATTTTGTTTTTCTATAAACTTGTTGGAGACTTAATTATGTACATAAATTATTATCTAATTAAGTTGTTATTTACATACAGAAAATAAGAAATTGTTTTTCCTCAAACAAACGAATGTCCAGTTTAATATGTTTAAGTTCTAGGTATTTCTCTTTATTGAACTTAATTACAAGTATATATGCTATATATGTTCATATAGAAAAAAAACCCTCAATGACTTTTTTGCGCACTGCAAGTAGTAGGTCTATGTAACAAGTAGTCAATAATTTCTCAGAGAAAAGAAAACTGTAAGAGAAAAAAAAATTGTTTCTCGAACAATTATTATAAGATTTTTTGGATTATTCTAGTTTTAAAGTCAAACAAGTGGATTCAAATCACATGTCCTTTTTTTGCATCTTTTCTCGTGTCTTTCTGGTTGAAAAACGACATAGCCAGAAAAAATCAAATAATTAAGCAAATGTCACCATTTACAAACCTTTTGCTAGTATATATCAATTTTCAATTCGGAAGACATAAAAGGTGAACAGATAAAGAACCAAAAGGAGACTTATTTCGCTCTCAAATAAGCCACAATAATATTCTTTTATTGAATGCTTTCTTAAGGATGCAACTAATAATTTGTTTATTAAGTGGCTATAGTACCATTCATACCACACAGGCCGAAAATTTGCAAAAGCTAATAGGAAAAAACACTCATGAAAAGTTAAACACGAACTTTCACTTTTTTATTTTCCATTAAAAACATGAGTTGAACTAGGGAAGTCAAACATAATACATTTCAAGAGAAAGTGAAAGTCTCATCTTAGCTTTCCAACATATAATCGAGTGTGTGCAGGAAGAAGGATGGGTTGTGTGCAGAGCATTCAGGAAAAGAACGAACGGTCAAACGAAGACTATCGAAGGGTGGGATCGAAGGTACACATACGAGGAACAAGCATGTGGTGTCTACTCTTGGGTGGATCCTATCGACCTTATGTTAAGGAAACCACAGCGGAACAATATTTCGGCTGAAAATTTGTTGCACAAGAAAGAGACAAGGTTGATGCATGCAGAAGAAGCGATGCAGCTTCCTGAGCTAGAAAGTCCTTCCATGACAATAGTGAAAAAGCAAAGCTCGACATCAGTGTCCCTTATATCAGACAACATTAACAAGGAAGATGGTTCTGAGAAGGTGACCGATTGGAGGGCACTTGACAAGTTTGTGGCTTCTCAGTTGAGTCAAGAAGAGAGGCATGAAATAGAAGGGATGTCAAGCTTTGCAGGTCACAGTGGGTCGGACATGGCATTGTTGCTACTCCAGAATACTAATGAAAGGAACAAGTTCAACCCTTTTCTAAGTGCAGCTTCATCAGACTGTGACATCGGGATATGTGTATTTGAAAAATGATTAGGGTTCATTTCTTGCATTGGTGTTAGCTATATAAATATGTTGTATGGATGTTGAGACATATATCATTATATGTGTAATTTTCATTTGTAAGAAGAATCTCTCTCGTGTCAGTGTAAACTAAGATTCATGCGCTCAATATCACTTCTTATAACTTATGTACTTTAACACTTAAATTATCACGTTAGGATGACATACATTTATATTTATCTAACATATATTATAAAAATAAAATAGTCATAAAAAAAATTATATTTAAAAAAAAATTAATATCAAACAGCATCTGTCACTGTTAAATGTTGTATTCTTTTAAGTTTTTGAGTAAAAAGAAACCTTGTCATGTGCCCTCTTCATTAAGCATGCATTCCGTTGCTTTATGTCTTCATGGCTACTTCTTTCTTTTTCATGTTTAGAAGCCACTTGGATTTGCTGACGGAATATATATGCAAAAAATTGTCTGCATTAGGTTTTATTTCTTATGCGTGAAGGGAAAAAAAAGTTAATATATTGCTTGGAATATAATAAAATATTAAATTTTTAACTTTGCATACTCTACTTTTTCGTTTGGAAATTTATGTACTTATATATATATGTGTTTAACTTTTTTTCTTCTTCTTCCAAACGTCTTAAAAATCATCTCACGTATTTTATTTTTTTCATTTTTCTTCCTTTCTTCACTTTCTACTCCATTGTCCACGTAACTTTTGATATTTTATGGTTTCAAGAAAAATTAATGCATAGATCTTTGTATTTGTGTTATAGATTTCATGAACTTTTTTTTATCTAATACTTCTTTTCTAACAAAACAGGTTTTTTGCATAAGAATTATAGATTTCAAAAACTATTCTCACCGATTTTTTTTATAACAAAGCAGCTCTCTAAACCAAGAAACAAAAGGATACAAAAACTTAAATTCCCTCTTCATATTTGAGTTATTTTAATGTATATTTCCAACTCAATTTTTCAAAATATCTTATTTAATGAAGTTAAAAAAATATTATTTCTTCAATAATAATCTTATTTTATACATTTACTCTTATTTTCTATAATTGGTAATTTAAAGAACGATAAAGAGTACAGGATGACAAGGCATATATTATAAAGCACATTTTCCTCCTAAAAGATAAATTTGTATATATTTCCAGAAAAATAACTTACAAGTTAGTTTTTGTATAAGAATCCAGCTTGTTTTCCTTTTTAGATTTGGCCTAATTAGTAGTCACAAGTGTGTATATATATATACACATGAAATTATAAAGCAAGTTCCTTCTCATCTCTTTTTAAATAAAAATTATACTTTTTACATACAAAATTTTCACATTCATTTGACATTATTATTTTTACTTTTTGCTCTCTTTTTAAAAAAAAATACAAAAATTCATATGATCATTTTATTCTTTTATTATATGTTAAATAAATATAAAAGTGTATGATGTTATTATTACTCCTTAAAATAGGTGTTGATAATACTACAAAAGAGAAATTTATACTTTCTGTATTTTTTAGAAAAGTAACATAAGATGATACATGTTTATATTCATTTGACATGTATTACAAAAATAAATAGTTATAAAAAAATAAATTTTTATATTTTTGTAAAAAAAATAGAAAGTAAAGAAAAAAAAATTATGTTTCTGAAAATATCATTTCTGTATGTAGAATTCCTCAACCATTCTTAAAATATCTAACTTACTTAGCAGAATTAATAAGTGAAAGTTATAGTCATTCAGTTATGGATATTCATTTCCGTCAAAATCTCATATAACATATGCCTCTCAAAGCACATAGTACAATTAATAGTTAATATTTAACTTGCTTTCTTATGAGCAATAGTTAAGTTTTATAATCACAGAAGAAATCGTTGCACATATACAAGTCATTTTTACACACAATTTTTTGTGATTTTTGTCAAGTACCTCTTGCATTTATTTAATCTTATATACTATTTTATTAATTTAAGGTTAAATGTCTTTAGAGTTCCTATTTATGTAGATTTGTATTAATTGGGTCTTCGTATTCTGAAAGTCCTCAATTAGATCCCTGTTTTGATAAAATTGAACCAATAATATCTTTGCCGTTAATTTTAGTGGACGGCGTTAACTTTATAGTGAGGTGGCATGGTGATGTGTCCTTTAATGAGCAAGTGGCACAATATCTCGTTGTGTGGAAACCACCTTCTCCACTTCCCCTTCCTCTTCCTCACCTTCTCCTCTCTTTGGGAAACTGTCTTCTCACCCTTCCACACCCAACTCCAATCTCGTTGTTGGAACTGACTGACGTTTCTGGTTTCTCTTTGTGCTCCAAGATTGTCAAAATCAGGTTTGATTTTGGTTTCAATTTTGATTGTTGATTAAAATCGTGTTCTCTCGTGCAGAGAAGGGTTTGAGTGGTCAACATTGCATGAAGTCCGAGAACACAAACCCCATTTTTTCTGTATGGTGAAAAACTGAAGCTTGATGAGCGGTTTTGTTGTTCTGTGTGGTGTAGGTATGGAGGCCGAAGAGATGAACCAAAAAGGGTGCAAGGGCTCAAGGTTCCAGAGTTTTTCTTGCAGTGGGGGCACAGGAAGCGACTGAGATGTGTGAGGGTGGATTTCTCTGCAAAATTAGAACCACCCTTTTCATGAATGGTGATACCCATAGCTGCAAAATTGGATTTCTCTGCAAAATTAGAACCACCCTTTTCTTTGTGTTCAGTTTCAATCGGCGTGGTCAGGGGTTGCTCATCCCAATTCTTTCTCGGACTCTTGGACCCAACCAGCGCATCGGAGACCTTCGAGATCCCGGCGACAATGGTGGCCATCTTTTTCTTTGCGGCGGAGTCCACCACCACCGGCAATACCTTGAGCCCGCTGGACAACCTCCTCCCAAGAGAAAGCGACGCCCGCTATGGACTAGGTGACGACTGTTGTTGGTGTTGTTTTGTTGGAATGTCTGACCGTGGTTTGAGAAAAATAAAAATAATAAGAAAAATAAAAATAATATGATTAGAATGGAAAAGAAGAAGAAGGTGAGGAAGGTTTGAAGTCAGAAGAAGATTTGGAAGAGGAAGAGTGAGGTTTCCACAGTAGAGCTTGTGAAGCGTGGGGAGGTTTCCAAGCTCCGGAGGGATGTTTCCCGTGAGCTTGTTGTCGGAGACGGCGAGGTACTGGAGGTGCTGTCAGGTTCCATATTTGGGAGGAATCTGGGTAGAGAAAAAGTTATCGCCGAGGTGGAGGTAGAGGAGGAAGGGGATGATAGTGACGGGGAAGTGGACCCTAGTTTGGTTTAAAGGATTTTATTTAAAACTTAAAATAAAATAAATTCCATCACATTCGCCACGTCATAATTAATTGTTGGATCAGCATGTCACTGTCTAAAGTTAATGTCATCCACTAAAATTAACGGTAAAGATATTATTAGTTTAATTTTATCAAAACAGAGACCTAACTGAGCACGAGGACTCAATTGATACAAATTTGCAGAAATAGAAACCTCCGAAGATATTTTACCTTAATTTAATGCATGTTTACAACTTAAATGTCGAATGATCATTTGATTATGTCTATTACTTGCTCATCCTCTCTTTTTTTTTTTTTGTCTTTTCTTTTATTTGAAAGACAATTTAAACCGTCTAGCTTTTAATATTTGATATATTAATTTCCACTGTACATTTGTTTAATCTTTTCTATGTAAAAAAACTATCAATATTATGTTTATTCCTATTGTAATTTCTTTTGAAGTTCCTTACTTTTTCCTTTTATTTATATTGATTCGCATGTTTGTTTTAGGAATTATATTTTAAATATTAATACACTATATACAAAAGTCAACACTTTCTGTTTATACTAGTGAAGTAATCATTGAACTTTTATTACCAAATTGTAATATTCAGAAGTTTAACTTTTATTGTTTTACCTTATGATCAAAAGAGAAAAATTAAAGTTATGTGAGGAGTTCAAGTACAAAATTGAATTTTCATATTCAATAAAAATGAGTTAAATAATATATAAAGAAAAAATTATTCACAAATTCAATATTTTAAGGATTTTACTTAAAGGTGATGAGTTTGTTATGTCTGTTTGAATAACTCAATAATTAGTATTTGTGACGAGTAACCAAACTTATTGTGAGTAAAATATTTGTATTTTAAGAGTAAGTGATTTTCTCAGTATATCTAACTCAGAACAAAACCTTAAAGCTGGTTGAAGTGAGATTCTTGGCATTTGAAAATAAACGAAGAAGAAACTTTAACATGTAATATTAGATTTAGATACAATTCCCAGTGATGATATCTTCCACAATCAATCTTAATAAGCCGTCTCATATATGCATATAAAAGATCTTCATATTAATTTTTTCCATAATAAAATGGTGCATGAATGTGGTTCCTCTTCCGCATGCTTTATCTTATTTTACAATCAAATATAAAGTTTATTTTAACTAGTAAAAACACATGCACAATTGTTGATATTTTTTTTATGATAATAAAAAATATAAAAATTATAAAATTGAAATGATTATTATTGTTATCATTATAATTGTAATTATAAAATTATTCTTTTTGTAAATTTATTATAAATAATTTTTATTTATTTTATTGATATTTTTATGATTAAAAAATGATTAAATTTAAAAAAAACAGTTAAATTGGAAAAAGAAACGGTTAAATTTAAAAAAACAATTAAAATTGATAAAATAATTATTTTAGTAAATAGGAGATGGAGAAATGAAAAAAGGGTGGTGGAATGGTGGTAGAGTGGAAAGGAGAAATGAAAAATGGTGGGGAAGGTTCATAGTGAAAAAAAGAGGGAAAAGGAAAGAAAGGTGGTGAAAGGTGAAGAGAGAAGAAAACAAAAAAAAAATTAACAAATGATTACCTTTCAAAGTTGTTAATACCAATTTAACCTAATGAATTATATTAAATCATTTCAAATGAAATAGGAACTAAATTGAGGACAAAAGGAAGTAAAAAATCACATTAAATCAACCCTACAAATATTATAACCAAAATATTAAGTCTTAAATATAAGTTTCTTTGACTTTCAACTTACCCTATAACACATTACTACACTGATGACGGATAAAAAAAAATTTCACATTAATATTTAAC